TCAGGAAGGCGCGTCCGTCGGCGGTCTCAACCAGCAGAACCTGACGGTGCTCGGCGACAAGCTGAAAGTAATGGACATCAAGCAAATCGTCGAGCTCGCCCCTCTCGCGAAGGCCAGCGACACTCACGACGCAGCGCAGTGCAAGCTTCAGGTCAGCCTCAACCCCAAGGGCGACGTCGACCTCAGCGTGATCCACGACTCACTCACCCAGACAGGAGCGAGCTACAAGCCAGGCCAAGGACCGATGGTGCACATGGACAGGGCCCTTCACGCGAAGCTGACGCAGCTAGAGGACGCACTCATGAGCTAGATGTATTCGTTTTTTTTCACTGGACAAGGCATAGCTGTGCGCAGTGGGGCCCCAGTATTCCACAGACTACACCAGAGATGGGCAATGGGGGCGGCTCGTCTGCATCAGGGAGTGCGCCCACGGCTACGCCAGTTGTTCAGGGCATGGGAAGCCCAACGCACGCACCTACGAGTGCGAGTACTTATACGCCAGTTGTTCAGGGTGTGGGGAGGCCACATTTTGCACCACAGAGTGCGACGACTTCATCGGGTGTCCTGGGCATCGGCGCACCACTTCACGAATCGCAGAGTACGGCTACTAAGGTCATGGGAAGCCCACTGCGTGCATCGCAGAACCCGCCCACCTCTACTGCAGTTGTTTGGAGCATGGAAGGCCCACTTTTGGCATCATCGAGTGCGCCTACGTCAGTTGCCTAAGGCATGGGATGCACAAGTCGTGCACCTACGAGTGCTGCAACGTCGTGTTCCCGCACTGAGATTTGGACAGCTTCGCTGTTGTCACACGCCCGAGCTTTGGCCCGGGCTGAGAAGGAGAGCCCCTTCTGAGCCCCCCGAGCCTAGCCTGCCCAGCGCCCCAGTGCCCTCTCCACCATTCCTCGTCTCTCGTGCCTTTGGAGCCTCCTCTCCTCCCCCCTCCCCCAAGCGACCTCGTAGGTCTTCCGCCCCACCGCCACTTTCCCAGCGCCAGCTGCACCCATCCCGAGGCTCGTCTTACCCTGCCCCTGCTACCAGGCAAAGCCCAGGATGCGACTCTAGAACCATGGAAGCCATACTGCTGCCTCCGAGGGGTCCGATCCGATGTATGTATATGTATATATATATATATGTTTCATTAGACACATACATACATAGATACATGCATCCACACACGCATATATATATATATATATATATATATATATATGATATATTATATATATTATATGTATGTGTATATATATATACATACACACAAGACTGTAGTGGCGCTTCGCGCCATGCACCTTAGTCTTTGAAGTCTGGTGTGCAGGCGGAAAAGGCAAGAAGGTCGAGCCGACAATGTAGCGATAACTCTTTGTTGCCCTTCCTGGCATCACCATATATATATGTGTGTATACACAGGATTGCGGTGGCGCTTCGCGCCATGCACCTTGGTCCTTGATGTTTGGTTTGCAGGCAGAATGACAGGAAGGTCAAGCCGACAATTTTGCGATAACTCCTGGTTGCCTGTTTCCGGCATCGCCGCTATAATGATGTTATTCGTTGTCCTTCCTCCATGCTTATTGTTCCTTATTTTCGCCATACTCTGCGCATTCTCCACATCCTCCTCAGCTCTTTTTTGCAGACTCCTCCTTGGAACGCCTCTAGGGGCCTCACAAAAGTTGTTTCGGGCTTTCTTAAGGCCTTCTGGGGGCCTCCTGGGCGTATTCTGGGGGCCTCCGGGGGCTTCCTCGGGCCACCCTGCCTCCAACCGCCGTCTCCCTGAACGACCGAATCACGATTTGGAATTCTTCGGAGGGTGTCTTTGGGCCATCTTGGGCCGCCATGGGGCTCTCTGAGGGCCATCTTGGACCCGTGTTGTGCCGTTTTGGGGCTCTCTTGGACTGCCTGGAAGCCCTTTCGGATGGTTGTGGGGCGATTTGGGAGCCTCCCAGGCGGCTTCGGACGCCCAGAAGACCGCCGTCTTGGAGCGTCGGGAAGCCGAAAAGAGGAGAACCCCAAAATTCACCAAACACCCTCAGAAAATCATTGATTTTTGCCTCGGGGGGCCTTCTTGGGAGTGCTCTTGGAGGCCTCTTTCGGGCCGTCCTGGAGGCCTCTTGGGCCATCTTGAGGTCACGTCGGTCCCTCTTGGAGCGCTCTTGTGCTGTCTTGGGGGTCTCTGGGACGTCTCCGATGACCCCCCTGATCGCCCTAGTGCTGGGAAGGCTTGGCAAAACGCCTTGCGAGGCCCGGTGGCCGCTTCGAGGCCCGTCCGGAGGGCCCCAAAGCCCCAGGTCCCGGGAGTCCGGTTTTGGGGGGGGGTGATGGGTTTTCTCCCCGCCCGGGCTTATAAAATATAGGAAGAGGAATATATATATATATATATATATATATATATATACATACATACATACATACATACATACATACATACATACATACACACACATACAAACATACATACATACATACATACATACATACATACATACATACATACATACATACATACATACATACATACATACATACATACATACATACATACATATACACACATACATTCACACATAATTTCATAGGGCCAGGGGCGCCGGAAAAAGCCTGCCCCACCGCCCAACGAATTTCGGCCCTCCCCAGACCTCCGGGCAACCTGGGAGAACTTCACGAGAGCCCGAAGACGGCCACAGACGGGTTCCAGGCGTTCCGTCGCGCTCCCGAAACGACCCCAGAGAGCCCCAATATGGTGCACGACGACCCCCAAGAAGCCGCCATACCCCCAAAGATCGCTCCGAAACGTCCCAAGAAGCCTCCAAGAGCACTCCCAAGAAGGCCCCGAAAGGCAAACATCATTGATTTTCATTGGGTTTTGGGTGAATTTTGGGGTTCTCCTTTTTTCGGCTTCCCGACGCTCCAAGGCGGCGGTCTTCTGGGTGTCTGAAGCCGCCTGGGAGGCTCCAAAATCGCCCGGCAGCCATCCGAAAGGGCTTCCAGGCAGTCCAAGAGAGCCCCAAAACGGCACAGAAGCGGTCCAAGATGGCCTTGAGAGAGCCTCATGGCGGCCCAAGATGGCCCCAAGACCCCCTCCGAGGCATTCCCAATCGTGATTCGGTCGTTCAGGGAGACGGCGGTTGGAGGCAGGGTGGCCCGAGGAAGCTCCCAGATGCCCCCAGAACATGCCCACCGGGCCTCCGGAAGGCCTTAAGAAAGCTTGACAAAATGTTGTGAGGCCCCTAGAGGCTCTCCAAGGAGGAGCCTCCGCAAAAAGAGCTGAGGAGGATGGGGAGAATGCGCAGGGCATGGCGAGAATAAGGGAGAAAAAAAAGCAAGGAAGAAGGATAACGAAGAACATTATGAGAACGGCGATGTCAGAAAAGGCAATAAGGAGTTATCGCTAAATTATCGGCTCGACCTTCCTGCCCTTCCGCCAGCATACCAAACTTCAAGGACCAAGGTGCATGGCGCGAAGCGCCACTGCAGTCCTGTGTATAGAATAGAAACTCATACTGCCCCCCCCCCCTGGCCTGGCCTCGGGTCCCACACCTCCCCGCCACATCTCGGGAACGCTCCCGGTACCGCCACCCCGGCCTTTCTGGGGAGCCTCCACAGCGCTCCAGGAGGGCCCAAGACGCCTCCCAGGAGAAAAGAAAGCGAAAGGATGGCCCAAGACGCTCCCAAGCAGCCCAAGTCAGCCTTCCGACGGCTCTCGAGGCCCCCAGGTGGCCTCCAAGAGACCCCAAGAGAGGTCCGAGAGGCGTCCTGGGACGGCCCAAAGAGGCCAACATCGTTGATTTTCACAGGTTTTTTCGTTGTTTTTGGCCTTCTCACGTTTTCGAGCTTCCAACGCTCCAAGAACGCCGGAGAGCCGCCCAAGACCGCCCCAAGACCACCCAAGAGACCCTCAGGACGGCCGCAAGACGGGCCAAGAAGGCTCCAAGATTGCCGAAGAGGCGCCCAGGACAGCCCCAGAACAGGCCCAAGATGGGCCCAAGAGCGGGAGCAGGAGGCTTCCAGAGACATCCGAGAGGCCTCCCGCACCCCCCAGAGGCCCCCAATACCCCCCCGATCCCTGAGAGGCCCCAAGAAGACCCCGACGAGGCTCCAAGAACAGCCCAAGAGAGCTGCGAGAGCCGTCCCGAGAGAGCCCAAAGAGGGTAAAATCATTTCCAATGGTTTTTCACATTTATCACCTTCTCACGTTTTCCCGCTTGCAACCCTCGAAGATCGAGGATTTTGAAAAAAAAAGAAGGAATTTCCAGAATTCCTGTTTTTTCAAAGTGGGACTCCTACTCGGAGATCCCGCACATCCCTGACATCTGGCCGGTACCGCGCCTCCCGGCTTCCCGGAGGGCCCCCAAGACGCCCAAGGACAGCGCAAGATGACCCCAAGGAGACCCCAGAACGCAAAGAGCGGCCCAGCACGCTCCCGCGCAGCCCGAGACACCCTTCCGACGGCTCTCCAGGCCTCCAGGAGGCCTCCAGAACCCCCAGGGGGTCCGGAAGATCCCACACCCCTGAGGGGCCCGGCTAACAAAACCCGCGAGGCACAAACAAAAAACAGCGCCGAACAGCGCCGAGGAACTGGGAAAAAATGAAAATCCCACAATTCCTTTTTTTTCAGGTTTGGCCCCCGGTCTGTTCTTGCACAACAGACCACAGTTCAGACCCCTTCACCCCCCCAAAAAAGAACCCAGGAAGCCTTTGAGGGCCCCAAATCGTTGAATGCCGAACGGAAATTAATGATTTCTGCGTTTCCGCACTTCCCCTTCTATACGATTCCGAGGCTTGCGCAGGGCCTCCAAGGGAGTCCCTGGACGCAAGAAGCGACCAAAATGATATTACATGAGTTTGCCTATCAGGCCTAGCTAGAACTTGAGCGCGCGCGAAGCGCGCGCGACGGTTCTAGTATATATATATGTGTATATATATATATATACACATGTATGCATATACACAAATAAGTGTAATTGCTGATGCGGCTCAGTGGGTACAGCCATGGGGTCTCCCAGGCGGCAGCTGCCGCACTGGCGTCCTGCTCGGAGGCGTTGACGCTGCGGCCAGAGGCGGAGCTGGAGCTGCCGCTGCGCCTGGAGGACGGCCACGTGCCCCTCTTCGTGAGGTGGGAGAAGTACCTCGGCCAGGATCCGAAGAAGAGACAGAAGAGAACGAACAAGAAACGGCAAGAACATACATGCTCGGAGGTCCGCGCGCATTCGTTGGGTCCGCGCAAATTTCTCGGGTCGGCGTCCGGGCCCCCGTGGCTGGGTCCAGCGCAGATCCAAGAAACCCGCGTGGATCTCCGAAAGTTTCTGCTTATGCCGTTCTCGCTGCTCCTAAGAAGGTGCCTGTACACCACCGCCGTGCCTGGCCAAGGCCATCCTGGGCCCTGGCATGTTATATGCACACCCTCCTGCCCGAGGCCAGGAAGGTCTGTACATCAGCGTAGGGCCCACGATGGCCCTGGCTGGGCATGGTTCGAGTTGCACATGTGCCTTCCACGGACAGGACCTGAGTGGCGTGAACTTTGTTCAGATCGGAGGCAACTGCGGCACGAACCTTCCAGAGTGCGCCGTGGGTGGAGACCCCATCTGGGAGTATGCCACCCGCTTCGGCTGGGACGGCATCGTCCTTGAGCCGGTGCCCCAGATCTTCTCCAAGCTGTCCGAGAATTACCGGCCGTACCCCTCAGTGAAGCCAGTGCAGGCGCTCGTAAGCAATCACTCTGGCGTCGGCAGGATCTTGGACCGTGCGGAGACCTCTCACGAGATCAGCCTCTCCCGCAAGAAGGGTGTTGAGGTGCCGACGTACACGCTGCAGACGCTCTGGAAGGAGGTGTTTGGCGAGGACAAGAAGAAGGTTGATGTCCTTGTCGTGGATGCGGAGGGCAACGAGCCGAAGATCTTGTCTGGCACGTTCCCAGAGCCGAAGCCGAAATTAGTCCTCTTCGAGATCGCAAACCTTCAGGCTGCCGATCTCGAGAGCATCGACGCCAATCTGAAGAAGGAGGGCTACGTCTTGCTAGAGAATCTGCGCCACCAGGACGAGATTGGGCTCACGATGGCGCCGCAGGATGCGCTGTATGGGCTCAGGACTGACCAGTCCTTGCCACTGGCCCTGAAGGATGGCCACGTGCCACTCTTCGTGAAATGGGAGGAGTACCTCAAGAGCATGGATGGCGTTAACTTTGTTCAGATCGGAGGCAACTGCGGCACGAACCTTCCAGAGTGCGCCGTGGGTGGAGACCCCATCTGGGAGTATGCCACCCGCTTCGGCTGGGACGGCATCGTCCTTGAGCCGGTGCCCCAGATCTTCTCCAAGCTGTCCGAGAATTACCGGCCGTACCCCTCAGTGAAGCCAGTGCAGGCGCTCGTAAGCAATCATTCTGGCGTCGGCAGGATCTTGGACCGTGCGGAGACCTCTCACGAGATCAGCCTCTCCCGTAAGAAGGGTGTTGAGGTGCCGACGTACACACTGAAGACGCTCTGGAAGGAGGTGTTTGGCGCGGACAAGAAGAAGGTTGATGTCCTTGTCGTGGATGCGGAGGGCAACGAGCCGAAGATCTTGTCTGGCGCGTTCCCAGAGCCGAAGCCGCAGCTGGTGCTGTTCGAGATCTCCAACTTGCAGCAGGAGGAGCTGGACTCCATCGACGAGAACCTGCGCAGGGAGGGCTACGTTCTGCTCAAGAAGCTCAAGCACAACGACCCCATCGGCTTGACCATGCCCCCGCAGGACGCTCTGTACGGCTTGCTCGCCGTGTCGGCGTGAGCGGGAGCTCGATGGGGCGGGGCTCTATTGGCAGGTCGGGGTTCGGCATGGCCCGGCCCTGGCTGTAGTTGACAGCGTCGGGGCAACAGGCATCTCAGACAGGCGAGCAGTGTGAACAAAGGAGAGTGGGTAACTAAAGGCTTTTGAAACCACCCCGACGAGTCGCTTGCCTGTTGTGTCTTCCGCTTCCCGTTGAACTTACGAAGGGACTCCCACGGAGAGAATTGTCTCAGACAGCGCTCCAGGCGGCCACTTGTGAAGACCCGGTCGAGCCACGTGGCCCTTCCGCACCGAGGCGCGCTGCCGTGCGCGTCTCCAGCGCGTCCTCGAAATCCCCTGATCCTTCGACGGGGTCGCAATCCGCAGCCCGCTCGATTAGTTCGCCCTCCACTCCGCCCTCCACCCTGACCGAGAAGCACCTCTTTGTCCTCGCCTTCCCGAGGTCCAGGCCCAGCGCCGCCAAGACCCCCCGGCGCCTCCACGATCTCCCCCCTGGCCCTCCGAGCCCGCGAAGCCTGCGGCCCCTCCGTGCAGCACGCCGCGAATGGGGCACTAGCCCCCCCCCCTCCTTCACCTCCTCCTCCTCC